GTTTCCACTGTACTATACAGTATACATTACATAGTGGTAAATGTGAGACGCATGCGCATTAGTGTTAATTCGTACTGATTCATTGAACGAGTAATGTTATAATTGCTGTCCAAACAAAAGTTTTATTCCATGACAAATTATTTTCTAATGATTTATAAATATGCGATATCGAAATAAAAATAGTTTAAACATGCTCTCAACTAGTCATATTTGACCAAAATGATTCTTGTACGAGTATGTTATTTGATATTCATTCATTCATTCATTTTCAGTGAATGGGATATTTATCCAGATTGTTGTCCATGCATATTGGATGTATTGTTGCAGTAGACAGAGCAGCAAAAAGAAAGATTGACTTTATCGATGGCAGAATCGATTGAACCTTCATCTCTCCGCGCATCATTGCCGTGGGCAATTCTAGTAGAAAGAGTATACAGTATACTTTATGATATATCGTAGACTATAAACGTTGCTATGGTTACGCACAATATAGTGTCGGTTCTACACCAGATACCCACATTTGCAGTGGTTTGAATGAAATGAGTAAAAGTACCATAAATACAGTGTCTGGTTCATTATACATTTATGAATAATATTGGTGGGTAGGATATCCATCAACACAACTTGTTTGTATTAATAACATTTTGTTTATTCCATCGGGGATAGTTTGTGTCTCCTGACTTTTTTTATTTGAAAATTGCAAGTACAAGTGCTGACATTACATGGTGCGATGCATGTTTGCTAAATAAGTGTTATCCACCACTGGACTTACGTTCCGCGGGTGGCCAGACGAGTGACAGACTTTCTGTGTCTAACTACATTTATAAATGAACACAGTGGATTATGATTTATCACGACCTAAAAAGTGTTTAAATACAACACACAGCGAAGTATTCGTTCAATGAAGCAATGATAGAATCTTCTCAAAACGCATGTATGTTGATTGTTTTGATACGTTACAATAACATGTACTGCGCATGCGTTCAGTTGTTTTCATTTTTGTCGAACGAATAATACTGACAGTGTGTGCTGCAAAATCAAAATTTGTTGTATTTATGATTAAAGCTTGCCTGGAATTCAGCCATTCCGAGAACACTCAATAATGACCTGGTGAATCGCTATGTAACTACGTAGTCGGCAGAAAATTCCGTGCTACCACTGATTGGCCGTCTCCATGACATCAGAACATTACCATCGGACGGACATGAGCAGAGTGACTTGCTTGTTAGGCCAAGCCACAATACTGCAGACCGAATGACTCTTGTGTTATTCGCAGACTTTTCAAAGTTCATAGACGGCACATAGTCTAGATTCAAACATAACCCAATTTGTGCATCATCATTTTAATATAATTGTCAGACATATAACATTATAATCGTATATCACACTGAAATAGGTAGTTGACTCAGGCTGTAATCGTCGCCATTGATCTAGTCAGTAAGCATCATTGTCCACAACATGTATACCACTAGCACTTCCTTTACAACATAATAATGAGCCTGGTAGTACTTAGTAATTTTGAACGATTTTAAGCGAATTCAAGATAGCCTATACAAGTCTGGTAAACTTCGAAGTATCATTAGGATTTTCTAAAAGATTTCTACTGAGTTAACTCTATATTTTATTAGCTCCAAACGCGTTTAGTAAATGTAGTTTTTAATACACAGAACCGGAAATTACGATGTCGCGTGAGTGCTTCTGATGTCTACTTTCCGTAGTAAAAAGGTTGCACAAGGCGTAAACATCATGCAATTATACATGCAAACACATTGCGTGACAGTGACGTGTTGAACGTATTGTTTATTAATTGTACAATTTCACAACATTAGTGTGCTGTAATATAAGAACGGAAATAAAGAGATGAGGACACATGTGTGTTCGTATATAACTCTCAGA